AACATTTTCCAAGCAACAGAAATGCAAGTAATGCTTCCAAATTCATTCTATGAAGCCGGTATTACCCTGATACCAAAAACAAATAAGGCCTCAATAAAAAAGAACTACCAATACCCTTGATTAACATAGATACAAAAATTCTCAGCAAGATCCTCACAAACAGTAGTCAGCAACTCATTAAAAAGATCATATTTCATTATCAAGTTGATTTCATTCTAGGGATGCATGGATATGTCAACCTATGTAAATCAACAAAGGTAACATACCATGCAAATAGAATCAAGGATAGAAATCACATGATCACCTCAACACTTACAGAAAAAATTTTACACAAAATTCAGTAACACATCATGTCAACACCCTCATGAAAACAGGAATAGCAAGACTTTACCACAAAATGATAAAAGCCATTTAAGACAAACTCCCAGCCAACACCATGTTGAATTGGGGAAAAACTGAAACAATTCCCTCAAAAGTCAGGAATCAGACAAGCATATCCAGTCTCACCACATCTATTCAATATACTGTAGCCAGAGAATCAGTCAATTGGTGGAACACACTTTGGAAAGGAAAAATTCAAATTATTCCTATTTGTAGATGACATGATACTTTACAAAAAAACATATTTCCACCAGAAGACTTTTATTACTGATAAGTTCAACAAATTGGTAGGATATAAAATCATCACACAAAAATTAATAGTGTTCTTATACTCTTGTACCCCTAAGAAAGGAATTAGCACCAAGAAAAATTAAACACTTAGGAATTAATTTGAGGGAGTTAGACTTCTATAGTGAAAACTACTGTACAGTACTGTGAAAGAGAAAATTGAAGAAGACATCAGGAAATAGAAAGATTCCCTTGTTCCTTGATAGATAGAATCAATATTGTCAAAATGATCATACTTCCAACACTGGTAGAAAGATCTGATACAGTATCAATCAAAATACAAATAATATTGCTCACAGAACTAGAGCAAACAATCTTAAAATTCATATGAAACCAGAAGAAGCCCAGACAGGCAAAAGCAATCCTGGGCAACAAAAAGAGCAAAGCAGGAGGCATCACCATCCAAGAGCTCAAGTTGAATAACAAACCTACAGTGACTTAAAACACACACATACACACACACACACACACACACCGTGCACAGAGTATGGTAGTGTCACAAAAATGGACAAGTGGAACAATGGAACATAAAAAAGGATCCACAAACAACTCTAGGCAAATCAGTTGGCTAATCTTTGACAAAGGGGCCAAAAATATACACTGTAGGAAAGACTGCTTTTTTAAACAACTGGTGCTGGGAAAACTGGCTATCATATGCAAAAGATTCAATCTAGACCCATGTCTCTTACCACAGTAGATTTAAGCTAAAGTAAGAATGGATCAAAGATTCAAATGTTAAAAACAGAAAAAATCTGCTGGAAAAGAACATAGGTAAAACTCTTGAAGACATATACATAGGAAAGAAATTTCTGAACTAACCCCAATTGCACAAGTAATACCAAGAATCAACGAACTAAATCATATCAAATTAAAAACCTTCTGCATAGCAAAGAACAATAGTGTAAAGGGACAACTTACCAACTAGAAAAAAAATTTTGTGGAGCTGGGGATTTAGCGCAGGATAAGTGCCTGCCTGGCAGGCACAAGGTTATGAGTTGAATCCCCGGTATCAAAAAAAAAAAAAAAAAAAAAAAAAAAAAAAAAAAAAAAAAAAAGAAGGAAGGAAAATTTGCCAACTATTTTCAAGGGAGGACTAATATTTAGAATATATAAGGAACTCAATAAAATTAGACCCCCCAAGTCAAAGACCCAATCAAAAATGGGCAACTTCTCAGAAGTACAAATAGCCAATAAACACATGAAAATATGTGCAACCTCTCTGCCAATTAGAGAAAAGTAAATTAAAATAACACTGAGGTTGGGTGTGGTGGTATATGGCTGTTATCACAGCATTCAGGCAGCTGAGGCAAAATGATCACCAGAAGTTCAATGCCAGTCTGGGTTCACTGTGAGTTCAAGGCCAGCCTGAATACACAGATTGTCTCAAAACACTAACAAAAAACTAAAGACATCATATTACAATGACAAATGTTCATAGCGGCAAACGATTCATATCACCTAAAATCATGAAAGCAGTCTATGTGTACATCAACAGGTGAATGATAAAATGTATTTATACACAACGAAATATTATTCTGCCATACAGGATAAATTTAAATCATTTGTAGGAAAATGGATATACCTGGAGACGACAATGTTAAGTGGAGTAAATCAGAGATACAAGCTAAAATATTGTATGGTTTTTCTTACATGAAACACCCCAAATACAAATACAGAGCCATGAAAAAGATATGTAATCTAGGAGGGGAGAGATGAAAAAAGAAATGTGTTACCTACATGTATCAACTTCCTATAAGGAATGTAATCATTATGTAATGTAAACATGTACAAATAAAAAATACTGAAAAAAGAAAGTATGTATGTTCTGAGACCTAACTCCTTTTTGAGTTTCATTTTCCTTATGAAGACTTCCATGTACATATAAAAATATTTATGCTTTTCTTCTGGTTTATGTCAGCTTACTTCTCAAGCCTAGCCACAGGACCTAAAAAGAAGTTTCTCTGTCCTAAATGATTAACAGCTGCTTTACATATAAGATTATAGAATTGTGGTACATGATAGACAAAGAGATAAGCTTAACAAATCCCTACCTAATCAAACTTGAGTATTGAGAGTCTAATGGAGCCCTCTAGGTAGAAACAATGCAAACTTTGCCTTTATTGTTCAGGAAAGACAGTGGTTCCTCTTGGGAAGTAAAGAATATAAAGACAGATGTGTACAGTTTTTTATAGTTTTTGTGATCTTCCTTACAATTCAACTGCATAGCCTTCCTACTATATGAGTCCTGTTAGTCTTTGTAACAAATCCTTAAAAATAGAGATAACCTTGGGTCCCTCTAACCCAGGTATGACAGGACTTTCTGGGATGATGGTAATGTTTGTGTTTTGTTATGCATTTGTTAATACAGATCAAGTACACTTACATATCTGAATATTTGAGTATATAAATGATGATTCCAAGTAAGCAAGAAGGCTGAAATTTTTAAATGCCAAGTTATAACATGTAAGTACTATAAGCAATAAAGAGCGATAAAATAGAATTTCAGGCCCAAAGGCAAAGGAGAAGACTTTATATTGCATACATCCACAATTTATAATAAATATAAAACAATTATATCTATGTTCCCAGTAATACCAAAAACTTATCTACAGGAAATTTCAAGAAAAAGTAGTTAAAACAGCTATATCAGTACACTAAAATACTAAAAGAATTAAATAGGGCAGTCCAAGAAAAGTCACATAGACAAAACAGTAAGTAGGCATATACATTAAAACTAATAAAACATACATTATAGGGTACATTGAACAGTAACTGAAGGAAACCTAAATGGTCACAGTAATAAAAATTAAAATATATAAAGTATTAAAAATATACTCTTGTATTATCCAGAACTTGGATTCTATTTTCTCAAAACCTCAGCAACAATGTTGCAAGGCATCTGAAATTCTGCTTATCTGAAAGCAATATCTTAGTCTTAATTGGTATTTGTCCTACTGTTAGTATTTCTTTTATATTATAAGGGCTATTTTTCTTTGAACTTTACTTCCCTTCATATTTCTAATAGTTATTTCCCCTCCCTTCCAATTTATAGAATTCTTTACGTAGTAGGGAAATTAGCCCTTTGTCTGTGATACCTTATTTTCTCCAAATTAAGTCATTAATCTTTTGATTTTGTTATCTTATGTTCATCGTGAGCAGATTTTGATTTGTGGAGATTTTCCCCACTCTCATAATCTGTATTTTTCCAGCTGGCTATTTGATCCAACCTTTAAATAAAAAGTATACTTTCTGTTCAGTAGGATGGGTTTTTACCTATATTATAGATGAAATTTCTATATATACTTCAGTTTCTCAATTTTCTGGTTTATTCCACTTGTCTGTCTTTAAATTTAGGTACTAGTGCCACATATTTTTAACTACTGAGACTTTATGGTATGCTTTAATATCTGGTAGAATTTGCCTTCACCTCATGAAACCTCTTTAGGTTTTTTTCTCAAGAATTTTTTATGCTTATCTTTCCACACTTCAGTATAAAGATTGCTTATACTCTTGGGGCAGTATATGCATGTGCTAAAAAGAGAAAATTGGCATTTCTATGATGTTAGGTCATCCTGCTTAAGAGCAAGGAACATTTTTCCATTGTTCGGATCTATTTCTTAATGTAAAGAAAGTCTTAAAGTTTTTATGTAAATTTTATATATTTCTTGCTGCATTATTTATAAGCCTGTTAGCTGCTATTATAGTGTCTTATTTTTTCTACAGGATTAAGGTGTATACCTGTGTGGAAAAGTTACCGTATCCTCGGTTTATTGAATCTTGTGTTGGTTTCAGTATGGATTCTCTTGGGTTAAGTATTTATGTCCACAGATAAGAGAGGTCTACTCTTGTCTTCCCTTGACTGATTTCGTTACACTAGTGTACCCCAACATAGTGATAAAGTGTCACGGGCATCGTCCTCATTATTATCACTAGCTCTAGAGTTAAGTATAAAGACTTAATTACCTACCCCACTTAACCTTCACATGCCTTTTGCCATTTATTGAACGCCTACTATATTCTAAAATTTTAAATATCATAACCACCTTCTGGGTCGGGTATCCGGGGTATCCTTTTTCCTGGAAGCTGAGGAAATTGAAGTTTACAAAAATCAAGCAATTTGCCTCAAGTCAAAGAAATGCATACTTTTTGAACTGGTCAGGACTACAATTAAGATATCTGCCTCAAAAACCCCACCAAAATCGGATTCCTGAGCCACGAATTCCGGCTCTGTGGTGGTGGCGGTGCTCCGCCTCTCCGGGGCCCTGTGCAGACGCGGACCCCCACTCAACACTGAACCCCGAGGGGACGGTGCGACCGTGACCCACACAGACCAGACGCGCAGACGTGAGCGCCAGTCAGTCGGCGGCCGGAGCAGAGCCGGCGTGGACCGCGCTTTTCCTCTATCCGCAACGGCCGAAACCCAAGAGTAATTTGAACCGTCGCCACCGTCCGTTCTGTTTTAGCGCGGAGGAGGGTGTGGAGGGCCCGGGAAGCAGCGACAGCCGCAGCACAGCAGCTCACTCACGGATCACTCCGCCGCTCGCCTGGGAGCGCGCGCGCCTCACGCCTCGGCCCAAAGTCCCACAACCGCTCTCTGCGCAGCCGCCGCGGGCGAAGGTGTGGCCGGGGCCGCGCGCGCGCCCAGGTCGGGTGTGGAAGGGGCGGGGCCTGAGGTGGACGCGCTGTGAGGGGCGGGGCCAGAGGCCTCTGGAGCGAAAAGAGCGGGAAGTGGTGGTCCCGACCTTGGCTCAGGGCTTTCGCAGGTAGTGAGCGCACCATCCCAAACCCGGCTTGCTCCAGCCCAGTGCTCTCCCTGCAATATCATTCTCCCGGGCACCATCCCTTCCCTCTTGGCCCGGAGTGCACTGTGGGGACGGCTCGAATTATACTTCGATTTCAGCCACTCCGGTCGGCTTCCTTCCGACCTCCACTGCGTGCTGGGTCTGTTCTTGAGGAACGGATTCGGGTGCGGGCATTGGAGAACATGAGGGATTCAGTGGTGTTCCCCTTCCAGGGTCTGTTTGGGATCAGAGTGTTGGAGAATCCAAAAGATCAGGGAGACCAAGGGCGGGGGGAAAGAATATATTGCGTTTTAGGTGTACACTGGCTCAGCTTGACCTTATGATGACCAAACTTGGATGAGCACTAGAACAAAGGAAGGCCTCTAGTGTTCTACATTTTGCTGATGGGGTGGGTTGGGCTGGGCTTTAAAAACTGAGTTGGGGAGTGGGACCAAGGGTACAGAAGCAAGACAAGGCACTTAATGCCTTAGCCTTGAAAGAAGTCAGAACTTTATGAATCCTGTAGAACAAGATGATATAAACTGTTTACAGGTTATAGTTGCCAATCTTATCTGTATAAGAACAAGAAGTTATAGCTGGGGAGAGGGAGTTCGAGAGGGATTGTTTTTTAAGTCTCACTTTAAGGAAACTTTCAGAGACACATGCATGGGGTTCTGTAAACCCCTCATACAGGCCACCCAAAGACTCCCATCGTGGGGCAAACCCAGCACAATGCACTCTCTTCTCGTTCTCTGCTCGTTCCTTCCCCAGCCGGCACCTTGCTCGCTGCTTCAGTCCTGGATCCCTCAGTGCGCGGCAGTCCCCACCAGCTTCAACCCAGCTCATGGCCCTGACATGCCCAGCCCATCACGCAGCCGCCTCCACCTCCACACATTTCTCAAGCTCTCCAAATTCACTAATGCTCCTTCTTCTTGGTCAGTCCCATCCCAGTACCCATCTCCAGTGTAGCTTACTAGTTAGAAACACAGGTTTCGGGTCCTATTAGAGGGCAAAGTCACACACACAAACGCCGTTTCTGCAGGTACCCATTACTTCTCAGTGCCAAAGGGTTTTGAACTAACCTGAGGTGAAGTTTTGTCAGAAGAGGGCGCTGGAGGTCTGCGGGCTTGTCTTTGTCAGGAAGCAGTTTCTCTGTTGGGTTTTTCTTGCTCTTAATTATGACCATAATAATTGTCTGCTCATTTGACCATAAATCATATACAAGAGTTAAATTTCTTATGTTGCTTACAGGGGCCTCCATTTGCCTAACAAGAATCAGAATAAAAGATTCCTGTTTCCTGCCTTTCCCACTTTATTTCTCTTTCCTTCTTAAAGATGGTGAGGGGGAAAAAAAAACATGCTATTTTAAAAGAATGTTCTTTAATTTTGTTTTTGGATTCTAAATCTTCTAGGTAAAAGATTATCTTTTAGATACAGAATCTTGATGTCGGTTTTTGAAATAAAAAACCCAACTTACTGTCTTTTAATTTTTGAAACCGACTTTAGGCTTTCTGGCATGGAACTAGTATGTGTGTCTGTGTTTGTAGTTATATGTGTGTATCTATGGGAAACATTTGTTCCAGGGCTTATGCTGTTTTTATCCATAATCAGCCACTAAAACATTACACTTTTTTATTTGATGGAAAAAAGTAAAATAAAATTTCATAACAAAATACTGGAGATTATTTAATAAATTACATGTTGTTATCTTTACAGTAGTTGCTCAGGGTACAAGATATGGGCATAAAAATTTCTCCATTCAATATTAGCACAAACCTTCCTTTTTAATGAATTAAAAGACACTAACAGTATAACTAACTTGCATTTTTAAAAACTTTTCTTTACTGTCTTCTCCTTTCACCCATCCTAGTTCATTTTTCCTTTTGAACAATTTCTTCCCACTTCACAATATCTATTGTACATTTTGGAACTTATTTACTCTTCCAGTTTCTCACGACAGGGATACAATGTGACTTTACATATGTTAGTCTGATTTATTTTACTTATGAGTGTGGTCTCAAGTTGCATCCATTTGACTACAAAAGTCTCAAGCATATCTTTCTTTATGACTGAATAGTACTCCATTATATGAAAAGACCACATGTTTTTTATCCATTCCTTAGTTAATCGGAATTCCAGTTGTTTCCAAGATTTAGCTGCTACAAAGGTGGGTGCACATATATTGCTGTGGTATGATGTTTTTAATTCTTTTGGGAAGATACATAGAAGGCGAATAGCTGGGTGGAATGGGGCCTCCAATGCTAGTTTTTAAAAGACTCTCCTCATTGATTTCCACAGTAATTACACCAGCCAAAACTCCCACCAACAGTGGAACAGGGTTCCTTTTTCCCCATATCCCCACGAGCGTTTGTTATGGGTTGATTTCTTGATAATAGACATTTTCTCTGCACTGAGATGGAACCTCAGTGTTGTTTAATTTGCATCATTTGAATGACCAGTGATGTTGAACATTTTTTCATATATTTATTTGCCATTTGTAGTTTTTCATCTGAGAAGTGTGTATTCATCTCAAATGCCCATTTTTGGATTGTGTCTTTGGGGGCCTGAGTTTTTTCAGTTTTTATATGTTCTACATAGAAGTGCTTTGTCTGAGGGAAAATGGGCTAAAATTTCTTCCTGCTCTGTGGGTTGTCTTTTCACTGTGTTGGTGATTTATTTTACTATGCAAAAGCTTTTTAATAAGATGAGATCCCAGTTGTTGATTCTTTGAGGTATTTCCCATACAGTCTGGGTTTGTTCATGAACTTTCTGCCTATACCTATGTTTGTCTTTAAGATTTCTACTTACTTTCTCTTCCAGTAGATTTAGTATTTCTATTTTAATATTAATATATTTGATCCATTTGACTTTAGTTTAGTGCATAATGATAGACCTGGGTCTAGGTTTAGTATTTGCTATGTAGAGAGCCATTTTTTTCCCTAGCCCCATCTCTTAAAGAGACTATCTTTCTTGCAGTAAACATGCTTGACCCCTTTGTCAAAGATAAGGTAGCTTAGTGTGTTTTGAGTTGTGTCTGCATTTTCTTCTCTGTTCTACTGATCCTCAAGTCTGTTGTTGTTGTTGTTTTGCCAGTATCATTCTGATTTTATCACAGTAATTTTGTAGTATAATTTCAAGTTAGGGATTGTGATGCCTCTTGATTTGCTTTTGTTGTCCTGGATTGCCTTCTAGGTTCCTTCTGGTTCCCAATGAATTTTAGGAATGTTTTCTTTAGTTCTGTGTGATATGCTAGTAGTATTTTGATCAGTATTGCATTAAATCTGTATAACAATTTTGGGAATACGACCATTTTCACTGAAACATTACACTTTTGCTTTTCAAGTGCACCCATAATACAGCACCATAATTTCTGGGTGCCTCTGTTCAAATATTCAGGATACTCAGGTTTAGGTCCCTTTCCCTGTACTGGTAAAGGCTAGTCTTTTCATATTTCTAGAAGGGAAAACCAGACACTTCATCAGTATGCTGGATTTGCAGGACACTCACCTAAGTCTGCAGAGAAGAGCAAAACTTTCTCCTTTGGGGAAATCTTTACTACATAAATATGTGAACAAAAAGAGAGAGAGAGAGAGAGAGAGAGAGAGAGAGAGAGAGAGAGAGAGAGAGAAGAAAGTCCATCTATATGTCCAGGTATAGTAAAAAACAAAAAACAAACAAACAAAAAAAACACGACTTATCAGTTCCAAGTCAGTCTCATGGCATCTTTTTTCTTATAATCATCTTTTATATTGTTGGCATTAGCAAAGGTAAAAAAGACTTGTTTCAGGATTATTTGACTGATTGAATAGTCTAAACTGAGTTGTTCTTACGCATTCTCCAAAATGCCAAACACAATCATAAACATCAAAAACCTTTCAATCTCCATTCCAGAATCCACCCTGATGAACTTTTCCTTTTCTTCCCCAACTTCTGTCAAATTTATAGTAGAGGACAAAAGGCACAGAAATAGAAAGTGAGAAATTAGAACAATAAGTAACTGAGAAACTGGCACAACTGTCTGTCTCCATTATTTTTATTGAATGTATATAATGGGATTTAGGAACAGAAATCAGAGTAATAAAATTCTAGGAGTGTTTGAAAACTAACTAGGTTATGATGCTGCAATGCCAGTCTCCTGTTCACAGGCCTGAATCCCAAATACTTTCCGTCATTAGTGCCATCTTAACGTGTAATGTTAGAAGGAAATGGTTGTTACTATCACCTTTTCCCATCTGCTGTCCTTCCTGGGAATGTAGTAGGTAAGGATCTCTTCGTTTTCCTCCAAGACACTATCTAAAAAATTTTTTCCTATCTTTAAACATCATATGAATGGAATTACCCAACATATATTCTCCTTTTCTTCTCCTTTTACTCAGCATTTCTTCTCCTTTTACTCTGTTTTATTCATATGTTTTTCCCATTTGCATAATAGTCTAGTATGTGAATAGTCCATAACTTATTTTCATTTGACTACTGATAGATAAGATGTGTGCATTGTTTCTCCTATCTGACTGTTGTGAATGTTTCTGATTTTTTATTTATCTCCTGGCACAAGTAGATCTAAGTATCTAAGGTGTTCAGTTGTAGGTGAAATTTTGGGGCCATTCCTCTTTTTAAAATTGGTTGTATCAACTTCAGCTTCATCTTGATAATATACAGAACTTGAGGTAATGTCACTCCCATCCTTAAAACAACAAAGGTCTGTGCAAACTAAAAATTAATGACCTTTTTTTACTCATTAGGTCTCTGATTGGACAAACACTGGATAAACAACTAAGCCAGCAACTGAAAAAATA